TTCATTCTACGTTTTTATTAACAACCCTGCACACAATATGATCTAATATAATTGAGTCATGACCCCTTTAGACAACTGCAACATAGTAAAATGATTATAAAAGAAACATCAAAACGGTTTCAAATGCATGCTTCTGTCACCTATGAACGTCTGCCACGCCTTGACCCTATCAATTAATAGGGTTTCACCAAGGTATGCAAACGTCAAGGTAGACACCTGCTATGAAGACCTGTGATGTTGTATTCAGACACCGAAGGCCAACTTTAGCTTAACTGACGGAAATTATAAAAAGCTCAAATGGAATTGCTGGGTAGGGACTCAGGCGCATTATTTGGCGCTAAGTGGAAGTCACGTATTTTTGATGCACCTATGATGCTGGAAGAAAAGCGCCTAAAATGCGTCAAGGCTCTACTTTCTCGGGAACTCTATTTCGAAACGTTTTGAGGTTAATGCTTTTGATATATATGGCACGGGCCTTTGCAATCACTGGATTGTCTTAGGTATAAAGATATGGCGAGGCAACCCACGAGTCAATTTACAGGTAAGATAGTAATTTCCGTCAAAAATAAGCTTATTATATTAAAAATATGATAAATTCACAAATAAGCGTGAATTACCATTATACAAGAGCCAAAATTGCCGAGAATGAAATAAATGGCTTCAAATTAAGTACAAGCGCACAAGCAACACATACCATTTTTTGTTCCATTTTTGTTTTAATAGCTCGTGCAAGCATTCGAAAGGCAACGGTAACATTTTCACCTTCTTTTGCACTGGTCTCGAGAAATCCAATGTTATGATTGGTAGCAAACTGCAAAATAAGTGAAAATTTCTGTGCATAGTAGGTTCTTTCAAATAGACAAGGGCAATTTGGAAAGGCCGGTAGAGTAGCTGATGGACGTAAGACGTAAAAAAGCATTTGAATGGCTAAGCATAACGACCCTTACTTGTCCCATAACACATATTGAAGTAACAGATAAATAAGCCTTGATTTGAAGACGACACAGGATGCTTTCTTAAAAACGATATCAGCAAAATTTATTAGTTGTGGAATACAAATTCATCAATCCGAAATTCAGAGATGACGTTACTTATGACCTATTACCAAAAAGACTTGAAAATTTCACGAAAAAAAGCAATATTGTACTACAGTGCGAAAATTAGGCACCAAACTACTCACATCTTGAGCCTCTTCCTTTGAGACCTGCCGTTGGGAGACCATGTCGCATTTGTTACCCAGCAACATCCGTTCCACATCCGAATTTGCATGCTGCATAGGAAAATTAAGGTCACAATTATGCTTCAACTAAAACTTCAAGCTTTGGTAAAATTACCAATGAAAATACACACCAGTGATTATCACCATGCGTTACCTTTGCAAAACCAACGGGAACAAGAGCTATTACTAAAAAAGTCGCGTTCATTTGCAAAAGATCACATTTTCAGACAAATTTGCGATCTAAATAACTGTGTATCACCTTGCGGCCATAACGCACACCTGTCAAACGTTGAAGAGACTCAGGTTAAACATCGCATGTATAAACGTGGGATCTGTCATGCAATAAACAAATAACAATGTAACGATGAATTCCACCAACATACTGACAAGGACAATAATAAATATGTTGAAATACGTACGTCGTCAATATTACTCAGCCACTGTTTAATATTGCGAAATGATTGAGCCTGTGTAATATCGTAAACGAGCATAATTCCCTAGAAATAAATACTTCATTCAACTAGCAAACCATTGCGCCGCGGTAATATGCTGTTGTAATTGTACGGAAGCGTTCCTGACCTGCAGTGTCCCATATCTGCAATTTGATTTTCTTTCCGTCCACGTCAATTGTTCGAATTTTAAAATCAATACCTAGAATAACAACAAGTTTTTATTTAGCTCAATGATATGAAAGACGATGATTATGTCACGGGACAAATCTCTGAAATATCTTTACAAATGTGGAGGAATAAATGTGCGTGAACCTAGCAAACGTGATGAGATAGCGAGAGGGACATAAACGGGTCATAAGGCAAATGCAAATTGAATGACAAAACACAGTGAAATCGTCAGAAATGAATCTCAAATGCGACAAGAACTCAGAATTTGGTCATTGGGACGAGTAGAAACAAGAATGAATAGACATGGAAAATATAACGGTACCGAGCAAGCGTCACTGATTTCCCATTGAACATAGAATTATTTCTACATCTTCTAAACATGATGCCAACTAAAAGGCTCAAATTCGTTGATTCCCATTCACTCACAAAATAAGAGTATACGTCACAAGTTACCTAGGCAAACAAAAAAATCTGACACAAATATACACAAGCTAGACGCATCAGTGTACACATCAAAAACAGTGATGAATGCCGACATTTAATTTCTAAGTGCCAAAATTCTGCAACAAAAGATTCTGCAAATATCGCAAAAAATTAGAACATTCGAAGTGAAAAAGCAACAACTAAATGGGACCTTAATGCGTACCTATAGTAGCAATAAATGTAGCATTAAATTGTTGTTCCGTAAACTGAAAGAGAAGGCTAGTTTTCCCAACTCCTGAGTCCCCAATCAGCAAGAGTTTGAAAAGGTAATCATAATTCCGCGTCATTTCCCCGAATGCAAGTTAGTGAAGTAAATCTGCCGCTTTTAAAACATAACATCTGGCTTAAACAAACAAAAGATAAATCGAAATAATTGCATTCTAATAACCTTCAAACATACCTAAGATGCAAATTTTTATAACATGACAAACTACATATGTTCACCTAACCTATATAGTTTGTTAGAGGATATAAGCAATGAAAATTATACTCAATAATTCAGTTTGTAGACAAAAAACGATGTATATACGCAGCAATGAAAAATCATACCAACATTACTGATTGTCCAAATTAATTTTCACTAACGAAACATAACAGCAGGAATTTGACTCACTATCCGCAGGTATTGCCATCTTGATAAAAGTGAGAAGGATGATCAAAAATACACTTTCTTTCCATAGGTGCTTGCTAAAATCTGTTCGAGTTCTGTTCGTCACTACGCGATTAGACGGGCAAACAATATTCCTTCACTGAATATTTTCTCGTAGTTACGACCTTTAGATTTCAAGTTTGGTTTGGTTTTCTGTGCGTACACTTTCAGTGTCATGATTAACCCGGTGCAGTTGCTGTAGCATCGACATCGCTAGGGTAAGCGATAAGCCTATTCCAATATGATAACGAGTCAAACATTTCCGAATGGGTGTTGCTGTATGTAAGTGTCGTGTCGGTCATGTACACGCTCCAGAAACACCCATAAGATGACTCGAGAAAGACTGGAGAGAAAGGGGCGCGTCATTTCGGCAATACTGTGTGGGTGGGTATTTACGGCTCACCGAGTTCCGTAAGTGGAGGCAGGCAGATTAAAATTCCGTGGGTTTCAGACAGTGTCCAATTGTGAAAAACAAATAATACTAAACACACTATTTGAAGGGCAAAAGCTGAAAAACTTAAGAGCAAATGCGATTACTTTGTGTAAACTACGACAGTCTAACCTTTATGTGCAATCCGAAGATAAAGGCAGAGAGCACGCTCAGGTGACGATATTGATTTGAACCACCTGCCACAAGGAGGCATCAACCTGTCGGAAGTTCCCTCTACAGGTGATAACTTTGGCGGACGTAATGCTCTTTCGAAATCGCCGCCATTATTGTGGGTATTCATTGTAGAAATAACAGCAGCCATTGCTGTTAATGCAACTCGACGGTCAAAAGGCTCTGCTAACTTGTGCAACACATGCAAAACGGTGCTCTCATTGATCATAATAATATTACCTAGAAGAGGAAGAAGGCATAGATTAATTTATCAAAAGCACATCAGGTTCACAACGCAACGTACAAGACGAATCATCTATCCATTCAACAGATTGGGGGCTGAATTCCCCCAGCCATTCAAGAAGATCCGCCGTGCTCAGTTCATGTGTGCCCCAGACATGAAGAACATCCATTCTGTAGCCCTCAGCAACCATTGTGTCGCGACCATTAGCAAAGCCTAGGTGAGCATACAACTTCTTTGCAGAATATTCCGTCACACCCAAGCCTGAGCGGCACTGGCAAATTTCAGTCTAAATCCAATCGACAGAAATAGTATTGCGACACGAAAAATAACTAACTTAAAATTCGGAAATGAAAAACATGCATTGCGAAAAATGATGTAATTGGAGGCTACACTCGAGAAAATGGAACCACTAATCCAAATGCGTAAGCATCATAATCACTATGAACGCAATCAACACGCAAAATAAACACTGCTAAGCAAGCAATTTGCATTTACTACCTTGCAAGCAAAAATCCCAAAAGTCGAAATTTTAAAACAAAACTTAGCATGACTTACGAACCTTACACAAACAGTAAGGTTCGGCAGCTACACTACGCTGATCAAC